ATGTGGTGCTGGTTTGGGGGGGGGGGGTCGCAGCTGTTCCAGCGTGTCGGCCACAGCAGGATCCAGCCGCTGAGCTGCCATCAACAAGTCAGGCACCCAGGCCGGCATGCGTGCCCACGGCATGCTGCGGGTGCGCCGCACCTTGTCTGTGGCCTTGAGGCGGCGCATGTCCGACAGGGAGAGGGAGGGAATTTCGACGTTGATGCGCCGGATGTTGCCGCACGGCTCGGTGCGCACTGCGGGGCGAGATGGGCGTGGGGAAGGGTGGGGTGGGCGGCAAGCTTGGGAACGGGAGGCCGGATGCCGCCACATGCCTCGCGTGTGTGCTACAGGGTGCCCAGCAGAGTGCTCAGCAGCACGCCCACCCACCGCCACCCACAGCCACACACGCCCACCCACCCGATGAGATGGTGTCGATGGCCTTGAGGAAGGAGTCAAAGGTGTACTTGGGGTGCTCACCCGTCAGCACCAGCAGGCGGCGGTGCCCCTGCTGCTGCAGCGCTGCCACCTCCTCACGCAGCTGCTTGTCCGTCAGCGCGGAGCGCTGCAGGTGCACGGTTGGTGCAGGCAGGAGGGTCGGGTGGCAAGCAGGCAGGGGCACGTGTGTGCGCTCCCGCTGTGCTTCCTGGGCTCGCCAGCGAGCCGCCACCTGTCACTGCCAGGCCCGCCTCACCTCTAAGCTCTTGTTGCCCTGGCGGAAGGCGCAGTAGCGGCAGTTGTTGACGCAGTAGTTGGCGATGTAGAGCGGGGCGAACAGCACGATGCGGTTGCCGTAGATGCGCTGCTTGATGGCAAAGGCTGCGGCGGATTGCGCGCGGAGGCAGCGGGATGCGGCGGCGGGATCGGAGGCTGGCATGAGGCAGGGCCAGCCATGAGAGCAGGCACCAGCATCGCTCCCGCTCCCTCTGCCAGGCCCAACCCATCTACCTGTGTCGAAGATGTCGCTCATGATCTGCTCGTTGCCCACATCCACGTTAAGCAGGGTGGCGCACTCCTCATATGTCAGCCCCTGCACATACTCGCTGGGGCCTGCGCGCAGCGTGCCAGCGCCCAGCGTGCGGCAGTGAGTGCCGCAGGTCGCAGCGCCAGGAGGAGCCCTTGGGCTGGGCTGGGCGGCAGTGAGCAAGGGCGGTGCAAGGCGTTCCCGCCACCCCGGGCACGGTGCTTCCCGTGGCCCAAACGGTGGGGACAACAGCTGCGCGTGCGCCACACCACGCAGCCCAGCTCTCCCCCACGCCCATGCCCACCCACCGGGCTTGTGGTTGGTGAGGAAGGAGCGCTCCTTGGCGGCGGTGAGGATGTCGCGCACGCGTGCTGGGTCCTTGGCCGCCTGCTGGGTCTTCTCCAGGGCAGCCACGATCACGTGGTCCTGAATGATGTCATCCACTGCCTTGTAGCTCTGCGGCTCCTTCTCCACCGACCACTGCAGGCCGCGCTGCTGCTGCAGGAGGCCGGAGCGGCCCAGCAGGCGGGCACCCACCGCCGCCACGGCGGGCAGCAGTGGGCCCAGCCCGCCTGAGGCCAGCCCGCCCAAGCTGCTGGCTGCCTGGCTGAGCATGGGTCGTGGCTGTGCACGGGGTGCGGCGATCGGGGAGGGCGGCGGTTCCGGCGAAGGGTGGTGGCGGCGCGGGGGCAGTCAAGCGGGCAGAGCTCGTCAAACCCTAGGTGAGGCGGTGTAGAATGGTGGTCAAATGCGAGGAATGGGGGCGGGGCGGGAACGCTGGCAGATGATCCCCACAAGTCGTCACGTCGCCTATGCAACGGTGGCTCAAGCGGGGTCCTGGCTGCCTGCCGCCCAGCCCATTCCTCAGATCACCCTATTCATCGACCCGACGAGGTGCTTTCAGAGTAGAGCCCCGGAGGGCGCCCCACTCAACCAAAACCGATACCCTTGCCCGTTGCGGCCGTGTTTGGACGCCCCCGTAGCCCCTCCGGCCTCTAAGACACCCACAGCCCGGCCCCGGGGTGTGCAGCAGCGCGGCGGCCACCATGCTGGGCAGCAGTCGCGCGCTGCAGGCAGCGGCGGCGGCGGCGGTGTCTATGCAGTGCCGCCTGCTGAGCTCGGGCACTCTGCCCCGCCTCAGCCTGGCGGCTGTGGAGAAGCTATTTCGAGAGATGGAGGGCAGGCGAGTGGCGCAGCGCAGAAAGGTGGCCCGTTGAACCCACGTTGCCGCCGTGCGTACCGGCCGCCCGGCGCCCGACGCCATGCATGGCACTGCCGCTCACGCGATCAGCACCACCCCACCCTGCCTGACCCTACTCCCCCCACTGGCTGGCTTCTCGCTTGCACTGGCGCAGGAAGGCCCTGCCCTGGGAGAATGCGGTGACGGCTGAGGAGGCGGTCAAAGTGCTGGGTGAGCATGCCGCCTGCTTCCCGCACGGCACGGCCTGCTTCCCGCCCCTCCCCCCTCCCATTCCCGCCCGCCCATGCGGTCTGCCATGCTTCTGCGCCCGCAGGCAGCTTCTGGGGCACCACCTTTGCCCCCGGAGACGTGCTGGACCTGAGCGTTGACCAGATGGAGGGCCTGCTGAGCGCCACCTCCACCGGCGCCGGCAGCAAGGTGCTGGACAACGCTCTGTTTGCGCACGCGGAGAGCGTGACGGGGCGCTTCTTCGGGCGCGACGTGTACTACCGAGGCATCGTGGAGTTCAGCAACGTGGGTGCTGGGGTGGGGCGGGCTGGGGGGGCCGGGCCGGGCCGGGCCGGGAGGAGATGTGCTGGCGCGGGGCCGGGCCTGCGTGCTGCTGTTGACTGAGCACTGCCCTCCACTGTGCCCACATCCCCCTCTGCCCCGCCCCCCCCTTCCTTGCCATCAGGTGTGCGAGAATGACTGCGGCTACTGCGGCATCCGCAAGCACCAGCGGCGGGCGCGGCGCTACACCATGCCGCGCGACGAGGTGGTGGAGGTGGCCGACTGGGCGTTCAGGCACCGCCTGGGCACGCTCATGCTGCAGTCGGGGGAGCTCAACACGCCCCAGCGCATGAAGTACCTGACGGATGTGGTGGCGGCGGTGAAGGAGCGCACGCGCGCGCTGGATGCGGAGCAGAGGCTGGTGGACCCAGAGGCGCTGCCCAAGGACGCTGCGGGCGTGGGGCTGTGCGTGGCGCTGTCGGGTGGGTGGGGGTGGGGGCGCGCTTGTGTGTCTATGCGGGGGGTAGGGGCGCACGTGCACGAGGCAGGGCAGGCGAGCGGGCACCAGGTGTTGGCAGTAAACGGCTTGCGGCTTCCGCCACGTGCCAGCAGCAGGCCAGCACACATCCCCCGCCTGCCCCTGCCTGCCTCGCGCAGTGGGCGAGCTGCCGCGGGAGCAGTACCAGCAGCTCAAGGACGCGGGCGCCGACCGATACCTGCTGCGCATCGAGTCGTCCAACCCGCAGCTCTACGCATCCATCCACCCGCCAGCCCAGGCACGTGCCTCTGGCCCTGCACGCTTTCATGTCTGGGACAGCGGGACGTGCTCATCGGCATGCACTTCCAAGTGCTTCCCCTTCTGGCAGGCCGCTGGTGCGGTCGCCCATCCCGCCGCTGCTCTGCTGCTGTGCAGAAGTGGGAGAACCGGACGCGGTGCCTGCGGGACCTCAAGGACATTGGCTTCATGGTGGGGCCTCGCCAGCACCCGGTGCCTGCCCGTATGAGTGGCCAGGACACGCCAATGCCTCCTGGCGCGGATAAATTAAACCATTGCTGTTTTGGAGGTGGCTAGCTGGGGCACGCCTGCTTGGTTGCTCACCCTGCGGCCTCCCCGCCTGTTGTGCCTGCCCCCGCAGATTGGCACGGGGGTGATGGTTGGCCTGCCGGGCCAGACGCTGCGCGACCTGGCTGGCGACATCATGTTCTTCCGCGACCTTGGTGCAGACATGATTGGCATGGTGCGGCGGCTGGCCTGCCTGGGCCGGCCTAAGTGGGGTGGCCTTCTGCGGCTGGGCAGCTGGGGCATGTGCCAGGGGGTGGATTAGGGGAGGGGCCTGGACAGTGCTGAGGAGCACCGGGACAAACATGCGGTTTTGGAGGTTTGAGGAAGCCGAAGAGGTGCCTGGTGTGTGGTGTGGGAAACAGGTGCATGGCCATTTCACCCCGGCACCACGCCGCTGCCCCTCTCCCTCTCCCCCGCAGGGCCCCTACATCACCGAGGCGGGCACCCCTGTGGCTGACATGTGGGAGCAGCAGTTTGGGCACGTGGACAAGAAGAAGGTGGGGCGCGGCGGGGGCTGGCTGTAATCGTACACGGCAGGGCACAGCTCGTTGTCGCCAAGCCAGCCCCTGCAGCCTGCCTGCCCAGGCAGTGCCACTGACCTTGGTGATCGCCTGGCGTGCCGCTGCCGCTGTGTGCGTGTGTATGTGTGGCGCAGCACATGCAGGACATGCTGACGCTGACCACCCGCATGAACGCCCTGGCCCGCATCACCCTGGGCAACGTCAACATCGCAGCCACCACCGCGCTGCAGGTGCGGCACGCCACGCTCCCGCCTGCGCACGCTGCTGCCGACGGCTGAGCACCAGCCGGCTGAGCACCAGCCGCTGCCTGTGTGGCCTCGCTTTGCTACCACCACCCCAGGCCGCACAAGCACAAGCACAGGCACCAGCACCCGCGGCCCTGGCTGTGCGCAGGCCATTGATGCGGTGGGGCGGGAGGTTGCGCTGCGGCGGGGCGCCAACGTGCTGATGCCCATCCTCACCCCCACCAAGTACCGCGAACACTACACGCTGTACGAGGGTGGGTGCGGCAGCAGGGGCAGGGAAGCGCCGTGCAGGCGGGTGGAGGGGGGCGGCGAGGGCTCCCGGGTCGCCTGCTGCCTCCCTCGCTGCCTCTGTGCTTTCCCATCCTCATCCCTGCCTTCCACGGCCGGCAGAGCAGCACACCATGCCGTACGCAGGCCAGGAAATGCCCGCCCTCTGCCTGCGCCTTGCCCCCGCAGGCAAGCCGTGCATCACCGACACGGCGGAGGAGTGCCAGAAGTGCCTGAACGCGCGGCTGGCCATGGTGGACAAGAAGCTGAAGCCGGGGGTGTGGGGCGACCCGCCCTCCTTCAGAGACTCGGTGCACCCAGTGCCCATGCAGGCCCAGGCTGCCGCCGCCGCCTCTGCCACCGGTGGCAGCAGGGGCCTGCGCACCTGGGCTCCCGTGTCGGCGGCGGCGGCGCGCGACGGCGGCCTGCACACCTGCAGCGCCACGGGGCAGCAGGCGGCGGCGGCGCCCGCGCCTGGCCGCGGCGCGGTGCTGGGCATGGGCGGCGGCCCCGCCAAGGGCTCCGACGTGCCGCGCACCAACATCGGCATCTTTGGCTGCATGAACGCCGGCAAGAGCAGCCTGATGAACCGCGTCACCCGCAGGTGTGCATGTGTGCGTGCACGCGTGGGGACGGGTGCGGCAGTAACGGTGGCAGGCGGGGGAGGGGAGCATGGGGGAGGGAGCAGGCAGGGCAGCACCTCCTCACCGCTGCCCGTGAGCCGGCGCCTGGCACCTCCTGCTGATCCCTGGTCCCCTGCCTCCCCTTCCTTCCTGCCCCGCAGCGAGACCAGCATCGTGGACTCCACCCCCGGCACCACTGCCGACACCAAGGTGGTGCTCATGGAGCTGCACGATGTGGGGCCCGCAAAGCTCTTCGACACGGGTGGGTCGGGGGCGCGCGCCAGCGCCGGCTGGCACCTCCCTGCCGCGACCCAGCCGGCTGCCTGGGGCTGAGATGTGTGCCGAGGCCGCCACCACGCGGCGTGCCCGGCCCTGCCCTGCTCTTCCCTGCGCCCATCCGCCCCCGGCTCCTGACCCGTGCCCACACCTCGCCTGCATTCCCCCCGCCGTGCCCCGTGCAGCCGGCATCGACGAGGAGGGGGCGCTGGGGGAGAAGAAGCGGCGCAAGGTGCTGAGCGTGATCAAGGAGACGGATGTGGCGGTGGTGGTGGTGGATGTGGGGCGCTTCCTAGAGTGAGCCGGGGGGAGGGAGGAAGGGAGGGGGCACGGGGAGGCTTATTTGCAGCATGGAGGACTGCAGTGATGTGCATGGTGCAATGTGCTTTCCCGCCAGCCTGCGTGGCGGCAAGGCAGGCAGTTGGTGCCACCAACATGCCGCCTGACTGGGCACCACCCCGCATTGCCCACCCCGCAGTACCCCGGCGGACCGGCTGCCTGCGGCGCTGGCTTGGGAGCGCCTGCTGCTGGACAAGGCTGCCGCAGCGGGCAGCAGCCCCGTGCTGGTGTACAACACCAAGCTGGGCGGGGCAGGGGCCGGCGCAGGGCCCGAGGCGGCGGCGGCAGCGGTGGACCGCCTGCAGGCAGCGCTCAACCCCACCGGTGCCATCATGTCGCGCCAGCTGCAGCTCAGCCGGGAGGAGGCGAGCGACGCGCTGGCAGAGTTCCTGCAGGAGGCGGCGGCCGCCGCCAAGCAGCACGACGCGCCGCGCAGCCTGCCGGACGAGTTCCTGTCGGGTGGGTGGGCTCAGGTGCTGGTGGTGTGTGTGTGCGTGCATGTGGTGTTTGTGTGTGCCTGGGTCAGGAGTGTCGCCATCAGCTGGCTTGCCTGCGGCTCACGGGCGACCCCCAAAAGGTGGACAGCCTTGGCCTTGCCTGCTGGGGCCTCCTGCTAACCCGCCCATTGCCTTGTACCCCTACCCCCCTCCCCTCCCCTCCCTGGCGCAGAGGACGCCATGGTGTTCCTCAACATCCCGATGGATGCAGAGACCCCCTCCATGCGCCTGCTGCGCCCTCAGGTGCGCCTCCCGCGCGGGGCATGCCAGCAGCGGCATGCCAGCACCCTGCACCAGCCTGGTGCCTCGTGCTGCCGGGCTGCTCGGCACCATGCCCTGCACGCTGTGAACATGCAGCCCACCGCCCGCATCCTGCCCTGTCCGCTGTCTGCAGGCGCTGGTGCAGGAGGAGGCGATCCGCCACTTTGCCTCCACCATCGCCTATCGCATGAACCTGGCGCACGCGCGCAGGTGTGTTGGTGGGGGTGGCATGGGGCCCAGCCGTGTGTGGCCTGGGTGGACCGGGGTGGCAGCAGCTGTCGGCATCTGACCCCCACCCCCAAACTCCCTCTCTGACTCGTCTTGGAAGCTGCCAAGGGCCACAAGGAGTTGGCTGCACTGTCCTGCCGGCTGGCTGAACATCGTCTGCCTGCTTGCAGCCTGCCCTGCCCTGTTAACCCCATCCCTGCCAACCCTCACGTACCCCCCTGCTGCTGCAGCTCCGACCCCGAGCTTGTGCAGCGCGAGCGCGCCCGCTTCCTGCGCGCCCTGCAGCCGGTGCTGGCCCACCAGGGCCCCAAAATCATCATCACCGACTCGCAGGCGAGGCGGGCAGGCAGCGGGCGGCCCTGTGGGACGGTGGGAGCGACAGGGGGGAGCCGGGCGGTGGGCATGGTGGGCACTGGGGCCATGGGCCCCGCCACTCCACACCGCACCCTGGCCATGCCCCCTGCGGCCCGCAGGCGGTGGACATCCTGCACCCCTGGACGCTGGACCCAGCCACCGGCGACGAGCTGGTGCCCTTCACCACATTCAGGTGGGAGACCACAGGCTGCTGGCTGGGGGGCAGGGCGGGATGGGCGCTAGGCTTGCGGCTTGCGCTGAGGTGCTGTCAACGGGATCAATGGCCCACACACCCCTCACACACACCTGGTCGCCGTGCAGCATCGCGATGATCCACCGCCAGAGCCGAGGCCAGCTGCCGCTGTTTGTGAGGGGCCTGGAGCGGTTCAAGAGCCTGCGGGCGGGGGACAAGGTCCTAGTGGCTGAGGTATGGAGGGAGTGACCTTCTCAAGAGCCACTGTTCGATGCTGCATGACAGCGGCCTCTGATGCCCAGTTGATTGCAAACCCGACACTCGTGCATGTGCCTCGTGCATTGGTAATGCAGGCGTGCAACCACAACCGCATCACAGACATTTGCAACGATATTGGCATGGTGCAGGTATTGAGGGGTGGGGTGCACTGGCAGCACAGCTGTGCATTGGCCAGCGCGGCAGCATGTGTCCTGATCGATCATTGTGCACCCCCTGCGCGTCTCCCCTATGCAGATCCCGGAGAAGATTGAGGCGCAGGGCGGGCGGGGCGTAGTGGTGGACCATGCCTTTGGGCGGGAGTTCCCGGAGCTGGACGCGGAAGGTGCGCCTGGCTGATACATCTTGTGCTTTTGCCAGCTGGTCAGCGGTGGCGGCAATCGGTTGCTGGCTTGGCTGCCTCCTCACCCGTGCTGCTTGCCTCTCCTCCCCCTCTGACATATACAAAGCAGAGGGCGGGCTGGGCAGCTATGCTCTGGCTATCCACTGCGGCGGCTGCATGATCGACCAGCAGAAGATCCGGGCTCGAATCCTGGACCTGGAGGCAAGCGAATGCCACCACCTGCCGTGCTTCTCGTTGCCCCGCACCTGAGCTGCCTGGACAACTCAAGCAGAGCACTGTGTGAATGCTGTGCTGCAGGAGGCGGGCGTGCCGGTAACAAACTACGGGCTGCTGCTGTCCTATGCGCACTCGCCCGCGGCGCTGGAGAGAGCCATGAAGCCCTGGGGCCTGCGTATGTGAGGCGCACTGGCGGCAGTCAGCCAGGCTCAATGCAGCACCTGTTCCGCAAGCATGATAGCATTGCCATTGCTGCTGAGCCCCAGCGAATGCATGTCCATCCAACACACAGCCATTTTGTTCCCTCGTCACGTCCTCTGCTCGGTCATGTCTGTCTGTTTATTCGGCTCAATGTCTGTACATGTGGCCCACCGGTTCCAATGTCCACAGCATGCTATATTATGTATCAGAGCCAGATGTGTTGCCAAACATCATGATTGATCTGCTGAATGAAGACTCGGTGTGCCTGCTCCAGCGCCGGCATTCAGCCAGTGCGGAAATACTTCTCGGTGGCAACCTTCTCGCCAGAGGCATCGCTCTCGATCAGGGTCACGCACGCCGGCACACCCACCGCCTGGAGGGCATCAACAAACGACTGGAAGAAGCTCTCGATGGCAGACAGGGACGGGAGCGTGTCCTGGGCCACTGCAACGGAAAGGGACTGGTCAAGCGGGTGGAAGGCAAAGGAGACTGCCAGGCACTGTTGAGGCAAATGATGCTGCCAGGCAAAGGGTACCTCGGGCACATACTTACAGGTTGCGGCAACGTTCACTGAATCAGCGGCTTTTTGGGGGCAACGGTCTGCCATCTTCACTGCCTGTGCAGCCCCCTTGGCCTGCGCGCCACCTGCCTTGATGGCCTCATAGATTTGGGTACCGGCAGGAGTCTGGTCAGAGCAGATGAGGCTGGCCAGTGCCTGCACGGAATGGGACGGTCGCAATGCTTCAGTGATAAAGTGACTAAAAACAAAGGTAAAGGCCGTGCACCGCTGGCACTGCACACGTCGATGTCACCGCCTGAAGGCTGCTCCGTGCCGCTGGCTCCATAGGTCCTGTCTTGGAACGGCTGCGTGATGTTGATGCAGTAGACGGGCTCGCCGTTTGTCGCAAGGTTGATAATGACAGCAGATTCAGGGCCTGCGGCCTGGAGCAGGTGGCGCCTGAGAATGGGCATCATGCCTGCAGCAGCGCATGGTCAAGTACTGTGAGGTCGCCTCTCAACGGTAAGCAAACATTGTGTGTGACCACGCTTGGGTCAGGGATTCTGACGCGCGGTAAGGCGGGGGCGGTAGCGGCTGGCCGGGGAGGCCCCACTGCAGGCCACGAGGTGGCAAGCAGAGGTTGCGCAGCGGCTTACCTGCATCCCCAGACGCCAAGCTTGGCGGCTGAGCTGCTGTAGCTGGAGCCACCAGCACCGAGAGCAGCACTAGGGGCAGGAGGGGACGGGTGGGCATGGCTGCGAGGCTCCTCGACAGGTGCAGGACGTCGAGAAGGCAAATAGCCCGTCGAGAGCAACAGAAGGCTAGAAACTGGCCAATGGCACGTGGTACACCTCAACCTTGGCGCCCGCTCCTGGCTGGATTGGACCTCCAATAAGCAGCTCAATGGTTGGACTCTCCGAGCGCTGAGGCACCAACAACCATGAACCACACCAGAGCGCTGGCAGCAATGCTCCTGCCAGCTCTTGTCTTGTGCTGCTGCCTAAGCCCAGCCCAGGCCCGCAAACTGCGGCAGTGCGCCAGCAGCGCAGTGGCCGGGTCCAGCTCCAGCTCCCAGGATGCCGTCGCCTCGGCCGTGGCGGCCGCCTTCGCTGAGTGCCGCTCCTGCCCCTGCCAAGCCACAGCCGATTCCTCTGCCTCTTCCGTCGCGGAAGCAGTGGCAGAGGCTATTGCTGATGTCGCAGTGACGGTGCAAAGCGGCCCCGGATGCTCCGCTTCCGGCAGCGCTAATGCACAGGTTGTGTCCAATGTTTGCCAGCAAGCCCAGCTGGGCTGCCCACATGGCTGGGGGCAGGGGCCTGCGTGAGGGGGCCGACCGGTGGCCCTAATCTTGATTGAACCAAACCGCTCGGTTCTCGTTTGCCCTGCATGGCTGCTGCCACTGCAGTCGGTCGCGACCGCAACCGCTCAGGCGTTCAGCACGGCTGTTGCCCAGGGCTGCGGCGGCCAGGCACAAGCGAGCTCATCGGCGGTGGAACAGACGTTTGCCAGCGCCGCAGCCAGTGCGGAGGCCGCTGTCCAAGCCTCTAGAGGGAGCGCACAGGCCGCGGCCCAGTCCATCAGCAAGGACATCCAGCCGGCTGTGGCCAACGCGATTGCCAGCGCACTTTCTGCCTGCAAGTGTGGTGGGGGCGATGGCACCCTCCTTGCTGGTGCTGGCACCGCCCCGCAACCTCTGGCTCCGAGTAGCGAGGCGACTACGGCCAGCGTGGGCGGCACAGAGCAGGAGGGGGAAGGCACCCAGGGCGACGGATGCCAGCAGGTGACGCTGCTGAGGCTGAGAAGGTGGTGCATCCAGAATGGAGGGGCGTGGCTGTGAAGTGCTTTGCGAGTTGCCAAGGGCTGCCTAGGCCTGCCCACTCCGACCCTTCTGGCCGGCTGCTGCAGGTGCCTGGCAAGGGAAAGGGGCTGGAGGGCGGTGTGCCTCCTGGGCTTCTCAAAAAGTGTGGCAAGGAGCGGGGCGAGAAGGGTGGGGACGGGAAGGGCAAGGACAAGGGCAAAGGAGGGAAGGACGGCGGCAGCTGACGCTCGAGCACAGCCCCCGCAGCAGCATCGCAATCGTGTTTCCACCTTGACGCTGAGCCTTCCATGATGTGCATGCGTTCAGAGCTGCGGTGGGCATTACATGCCACCATGTGCGACATTTCGCCACAGGGGTGAAGGCATAAGGATTTGTTGGGCAAGGTTGTGCATGCATGGGAATACGTGTAAACATAGGCTAGTACATAAAAAAAGCGGACACCACTGCCCGTAAGAGGAATAGGAATGCTAAGATAGCCGGGACAAGCAGGCAGGGAAAGCATGATATGCGAAAGGAGACATGATACAGAGCGCCAAATGCCGACGCTGCCTGGCATTTCATAAGAAGAGGTAGGCAGAGGGTACATGCCATTTGCGGCCGTGCTCCAGACGTTGGGCCTCGCTACTGCTGCTCAGTGGCAAAGCACTTGGGCTCGCTGCAGCTCTTTGTGCTGCTTCCCTCTGCCTCCTCCAGCGCACCCTTGTCGCACTTCTCCGCCAAAAACATCTCGCCATCTGCACGCAGAGTGACACACAACACACTGGGCTGGCTGCCAATCTCGAAGCAGGGGCAGGTCGGCTTCCTCTGGGCGCCACCTCCCTCCCCACCCCTCACCTGGCTGCACAATGACCACTGGGATCACAACAGGCCGATCCGAGGCAAGCCCCCGCGCTGCTTCCGCCTGTGCCTCTGCGCGCCGCTGCAGCTGCGCCTGCCGCTCCGCCTCCACCGCGGCGCGGTATCGTCGGTCCTTGCGCCGCAGAACGCAGGCCGCACCCAGCAGCATCACGCTGACGATGAACAGCAGCGTAACTCCCACGATGTAAGACACTGTGTCAGGATAGGGGAAAGCGCGCGGCTGAGCGAGAGCAACGAGGGGAGGCGGGCGCAAAGGCGGCACATGGCGGCGGCGCGCGGCGGCGGCGGGAACCATGGCGAGCGCTGCCAGGAGCCGGGCACCGTGGCGGCGGGTTGCATGCCACAGCACTCGGCGCCTGCAGCAGCGGCAGCAGTGCAGCAGCAGAGCGCCACAAGGTGCGACCGCATTCACCTGGGCCCAGGCTCATTCCGCCTCCACTGCTGCTCTCAATGGGACTTGTTGTGCTGTTGGAGCTGGACATGTTATTACTTGCCGCGGTGGTGGAGCGAGATATATTGGGCACTGCAGCCGCTGCAGGGTTGAACAAGTAAGCAGTGCCGCCAATTGCAGTGAAAATGGACCGAAGTGGGCTTGTGCGTCACAAAAAGGCAGGCATAACAGGGTTTGCTGGCAGGCGGACAAGGGCTTTCGGCAGGACTCCGGGCCGCCCGGTTGGATCTGAATTTACACTCAGGGCACTCCAGCATGCAAAGTGACACGCACAGGAAGACGAGGGAGGGTTCAGATCAATGCCACTGGGCACTGTTGTTGCTGTTGTTGCTGTGCCCGCCCTCACACTCCCCGTTGTCGCTCCTCCACTTGCGCTAGCAGCTGCTGCAGCTCCTTGAATGCCGGCTCCTCCTCGTACCGCTCCTGCGCCTGCTTGATCAGCCCGCGCAAGTGCAGGCGGGCAGAGGACAGGTCGCGCTGCACCCCGACGGCATCCGCCTCTGCCATCTGCAACAACAGCAGGCGGTGCCGCAGTTGCAGCATCTCATCCCAGGGCCACGCAACAAGGCAAATGCAAGCACACCCACCACACAAGCAAGCATCAGGGCGCTGCGCCCCCATGGCCTGCGGCATTCGGCTTGCCTGCAGGTAGGCGCGGCACAGCGCCAGCGACGCCTCTGCATACGTCTCGAACGCCTCCGTGCTGGCCTGCCACCCGGAGCCGCCCAGCGCCCGCACACGCTTCAGCAAGCACTCCTTGGCTGCGTCAGCATAGCTCAGGGCGGCCTGGTACCTGCGCAAGGGGCAGGGGCAGCAGGGAGGCAGAGGGGCAGGGGCAGGCAGGGAGGTCGTGTGGGTGGGTAGTGTGCGCCAGGGTGGCTGGGCGCGGTGGGTGTGCAGAGCATCCGGCCATTGGCCTGGTCAGCACATGGATGGATGAATGCTGTGCAGTGTGCACGCTGCAGTGTGCACGCTGCGCCCAAGCGCTGGCCGTGCAGAGGAGATGGAGCAGCAAAGTGCAGTGTTTGCTAGTGTCTGAAGCAGAGTGCAGAGCCTCCACAGGCACGGCCTCAGATAACCTGACTAGTTCAAGCCTCACTGGTGTGCGGCGGGGTGCTTGCGCACGCCGTCGCACTCGGCATGAAAATGCGCTAGGCATCTCGTCTCCGGCCGGCGTGCGGGACAGGCAGGCAGTACGCAGGCAGGCAGGTGTGCATGTGCCAGATGGTGCAAGACAGGCGTGGCAGAGCCAAAGAGCTCGCACCTGGCGTAGAGCTCCCAGAATCTGCTGTCGCCGCTCACCGTGGCAGCAACCTGAGGAAAGGGAAGGGAGGGCAATTAGGTGCCTCGTGCAGCGGCAGTTGGCAACACGCCAGGGCTGTAAGCTGCAAGCTGCACCGAGTGAACAGGCAGCCAGCCAGAGGGCAGGGCAGGCCCGGCCAGCCGCCTCGCTGTATTACAGCTGATGGCTGGGGCCCCGACTGCAGGCACGCCATCCAGATGCCCAGCGTGCCGCACCTGCTTCATCAGCGTGCCCACTGACTGCTCCAGCACTCCCTGGCCCCGCGCCTCCGCCTTCTGGACCGCGTCCCCAGCACCGCCACCACCTCTGCTGGCAGCACTGCCACCCCCACCGCTCAACTCGCCGAGCGCGGCCGCAAGCTCCGCCATGCTGCCGCTGCCGCTGTCTACCGCTGCCGCTGCCCCAGCTGCTGCCTGCGCGTCGGCGGGCATGGCGCGCTCGGCACCCGCTGCAGCATCGCCGCCGTTTGACGCAGCGCTCGTTAGCGGCAGCTCCGCCTCGCCATCTGCAGCTTCAGAGCCGCTGCCACCGACGCCCCTGACCACCTCCACCTGCCCCACTAGCGCCGCCACAAGAGTGAGGTCTGCGCGCTGCCCGGACGACAGCACCAGCACCTGCTGCAGCGCCCTGACCGCCGTCTGCCACTGCCGCACCCGCACCGCCACCTGCGCATAGTTCTCCCATGTCTGCCAGCTGTCGCGCTTGTGCTTCACGGCCTCTGCGGGGGGCGGCAGCACCGGCAGCAGGCAGAGAAGATGAGTGGCAGGCATGGCCGGGGGCAAGGCATGGCATGGCGTGCAGGGAAGGCTGCCACCCACCCGCACCACACCCACCCGACAGCGCGTTGAAGGCCTGCCTCCAGTGCTTGAGGTGCATGTGGATGGCGGCCAGGTTGTTCCACGCCTCGCCATTCTCCGGCTCCAGCTGCGAGCTGCGGGTGAAGGCCTGCAGCGCCCGCCCATACTCCTTCCCCTTGATGTGGCAGTAGCCCAGGCTGCGGGGGTGCACGTGGCGGGAGGAGGTGGCTGGGCAGGATGAGGGGGTGGATGTGGGGTGGGAAGCCCATGGTGCGACGCTTGCATCCCCGCACCCCATCGGCAGCTCCCACCCACACCCTGCTGCCCTCGCCAAAACTCAGACCCCACCTGAACCACCCCTCCCCATGCAGCGGGTTGAGCGCCAGCGCCAGCTCCCAGTGCGCCGCCGCCTTGGCGTAGCTGCCGGCACGCAGAGCGCTGCGCGCCAGCGAGCGCTGCGACCTGCGGGCACACACATCCTTTGCGGCGGGGTCAGGCTCACGGGCGCCCAGGCCGCCTCCCGCCAGCGGGCCCCAGGCGCCTGCAAACCGCCCAGCAAGCGCGCCCCTGGCCTGGACAGGTCGCGCCCGCCGCCCACCTGGCGTTGCGGTGCCCGCTGCGCTCCCAGGCCTGCAGGTAGTGCGCATCCTCCACCAGCAGGTCCCCCAGCGCGCACCACAGGCGCGGCTCGTCGGGGGTCACCTCCAGCCGCCGCCGGATCAGCTCCTCGGCCTGTGCAGCGCAAGGAAGGCACGAGCCAAGCGTGGCGTGGCGGCTGTCACAGGCAAGCAAGGGCGACTGGTTGACCCGACGGGTCCCATGCATTTGCGGGGGGAAATGTCGTGACCATCCGACACAGCATGCCCCACGGACGGCGGCTCAGTGCGAGCCGGGGCGGCTGCCTTAATGAGAAACGTTTGCTGTGCGAAGGCTAACTAGAGGAGGACGTCAGGGCAGGCGCCAGGCGCCCGCTCATCCACCACTCTCGGCCTTCGGCAGCCTGGCTGCCACCAGGTGCAGGGTGGCGACGGG